ATGGTGTCTTTTGGGTTTCTGTATCAATATCCATTTGAAAAATCACGGCCACCATACCAGAGCGTAGCGTATCACAATAGAGCAGTGCGACAGCAGCATCTGTCGTAGTTGATAAAAATGTATTCATCGCGATATATTCCTTTTCATGTAGACGACAGAATTCTTCGTCGTGTAAGTACTGACCGCGAAACAGAGTTATTTGCTTGTTTTTTCTATTCATATTTTGCTCTTGATGCAAGCTCATTAACTGATTTTGAAGATGCGAAATAAAATATCGATATTTAAAGATTTCATCGATATCTTTCGAGCGAAACGATCGATTGAGTAGACGATAGATAAATGAATCACCTGTGTACCACCTCAGTGCTTGATCAGCTGTATAATTTTCATCAAATGATAAAATCTGTTCAAGCACTGCATTATTCGATTGATACTGAGCACGACTTTCCGCGATTAATTCTTTTTTTGCGCGATCACTAGAAGGTAGATGAGCAAGCGCCTCCGTCATCAGTTGGAACCACATAAAGTTGATTGATTCTCGCTTGAGGACATGTAGAGATTTTTCTTCAAGTGCCCGGTGTATTATAGGAAATTCATGAGCCTCAACGACTTGGTGTGGCAAAGATTCCTCGCAACTGACAGATTTAGCATAAAAGCTTTGCCGTATAGTAGACCACCTTGCATTTCGGACTTCTGAGTTTTCTTGATTAGAACCAAATACAATACGGTGACTGACTTGAGGAAATGAGCTGAGATGCATTATAAGATCGTTGCCCACAGGACCACCAGAGATAAGCACGAATATGCGATCGTGTTGATTTTGTTTAGAGATATATTCGATTGCTTCTGTGACGTCGTTGTATACTTCTATTTTAACAGAAAATCGATGTAGTCCAGTACTCAAATTTGACTTCGTACGATCGTCATCCGATGTAACTGGACGAAGATCGATCCAAACAACAGTCGAAGTCATGTTTGAAACATGTATTATTTATCAGTTCTCAACTATCGCGCTCGGCTAGGTGAAAATATATGGAGAGAAAGAGCAGTAGAAGTAGTTCGAGAATAAGCAAAGATAACGATTATGATAACATCATTGTCCTGCTCACGTCACTATACTCATCAGTATCTGTGTATTTTTTGTCTCGTTCGCATAAATGCTTTAGAGGTGAGGAGGAATAGAGCATCCATGATCTTAATATTTTACACTATGCGATCAGTAATCATCAGGTTACACTCATTTGATTTAAGCATACAGAGCATGCAGGAAGCAGGAGAGCATTTGATCTTGTAAGCCGTGCTTTTTCTGTGCGAAGAAATAGTGAATATTCACTTGTTTCAATGGCGAAGGGAGCTCGATTTCGAAATTAAACTTTGTTATCGTAACGAGTTCAAGCTGATTGGACGAATAGTTTGGTAACACTATGTTGTAATTTAGTATAAAGTATCAGTAAGCTGACGATGTATACGAATAAGTTTTATCTATCAAGAAAAGAATATACTAGTATTCTTTAAGGGAAGCTCCTCAGACGGAAACTTTTTTATTTGTCATCCAATTTCAATCAGGGTGGGTGTGAGTTTTTGGGGTGTGTCGGTGTGGGTGTGGATGTAGGTGTGGGTGTGGGTTTGGGTGTTGTCATTCTAATTAGTCTCATCCACGCCCACATACACCCCACACCCACCCACACCCACACACCCACACCACCCACCCACACCCACACACCCACACCACCCACCCACACCCCATAATTAAACTTACATGATAAGAATTAAGTGCAACAATAGTTAATTGTTTTCCAAATGCTTTTTCATAAATTATTGCAAAATTCGCATGATAATCAAATAGAACTCCATTACAATCAAGAGCTATGATTGGTTTTTTATTTGTACTTATAAATAATATTGTATCTTTTGTCATAATTCAATATCAATAACAAAATTCAATCAAATATTTATATCTCATTCAGTTCCTACCACGTCATTCTATTTCATAACGAAATTTTTTTATTCTATTTGTAAATCTTGCGCAATTACAGGTATACACTGCCATTGAAATATTACCGAAAGAAATAAATAATAGTTGGTTCTATTTGTCATACTCGTCATCTTATTTACGAAAAATAATATAAAGAATTTTTTTTTT